ACGTATTACGTGGACTCTACCGGTAGTTTAATTATAGAGGGCCACCATCTTGGAGCGAAATTTAATTAATGTCGCATGGCTGCGCGCCCTCGCAACATCTTGTTTCAGTTGGCGGCCATCTCTGTGCCCACGCTGACGCTAAGCGCCACAACGCGCATGGCGCGTTACCTGCATTATAGTTCAACTTCGCCAATGCCCCCAAAATAGAATCTATCTGTGGGAACGTATCAACATCCGTTGCGTTCAATTGTGTCCCCGTGACCTAGGCTGACAGAGTGTGCCGACAGACGACCCACCAGCTTGCCTACTTTCCCTTGTCGCTATAACAGAGAGCGCCACCTGTTAATGATGCTGCTTTTTCGCCCGCGGGCTTACGTGAAGAGTCTCGAACTAACGATGACACACGGCTCGAAAGCTATTTGGTAACGTATATATATGTAGTGCGTTTCGCGCGTAGGTACGTGGCCGTTTGGCGCACCGGCGGCAGGAGAAGTGCCACGTGCAACCGTCCTGAGTGCGGCAAATGCAGTCTTCTAACCTCGATTACACGGAAATATTAATCTGAGCGATCATAATCCATAATTAATAACATGTCGTGGTTGGATAACGGAGTGATGCATGCACGCACGCTCATGCGCCCAATCACTCTGGGGGCGCACTCAAGCACGCACGACCACCGTTCACGTACGCACACATGTGGCACAACGCAACCGCACGCCGCCACGCACGCACACAACCCAGTCACACACACGCACACACACACACACGCACACACACACATCATATACACACACACACGCGCCGCGCGCGCCGCACGCACGACGCATCTGCTCTCCCACACACACCACGATACACTAACGCGCAGCCACGCACCGCGACCCGGCACGCGCACACCAGCACAGGACACAGTATGTCTACTCCTACGCACCGCACGGCACGGACTACGCACACACACATACACACGCACAGACACAGAGCACACGCCAACACGCGCACGCGCACGCCCACACGCCACACGGCACAACGCACCACGCACACGCACACCGCACCACGCACACGCACACTCGCACACACGCACACACGCATGCACGCCACGCATGCTCTCGCGCATCGCACTCGGCACACACAACACGACTTCGCGCGCGCCACACGGCACATACACACACAGACACAGGACCACGCGACGCACACACACACGACACGCACACGCAACTCACGCACACGCACACGCCACGCACACGCCACACACACACACACACACAACACACACACCGCGCTGCGGCGCGCACACGACACAATACTGACACACACACACAACCGACGTAGACACACTCACCGTACACACACACGCACACACATCACAGACACACGCACGCACGGCACGCACGCACGCAGGCACGCACGCACGCGCCACACAACATACACACACTCAGACACACACAACGCACAGGCACAGCTCCACACGCCACACGTACACGCGCACGCACAGACCACACGCACCACACACACAACACTACTGCGGCGCGCGCACACTACACATACATCACACGAGAACACGACACACGCACGCACACGCACGCATGCACGCACGCACGCACACACACACACACACACACACACACACAACACACACACACACACGCACCACACACACACACACACACACACACACACACACACCACACCACATCACACAGACACACACCACACCCACACACACCACAACACGAGACACACCACACACAGCACACACGCCGCACGCCGCACGCTCACACACTACACACACGCACGCACACACACATGTGATAAGCAAGAAAGCTAAAAATTACTAACCATAGCATTTAATTAATATTCTTCAAATTGATAGTAATACATCATTGACATATAGATATAATAGACATATAGACAATCACGATATTGATATAACGAGAAAACCGACATTAACTCTGCTAGAAACATCTCACTGAATCCTCCAGTATAGATCGTTATACAAAAATCTATATAAAACATCGTTAACATATGGATGCTATTAACTATAACTTATTTATGCCGAAAACTAAAACTTGTATATGTTGGTTTAGACATGTTATAATTAAAACAACTAATATAATGAAACTGAATGTTACGGCAGATGGCGAACGGCATAAAACGAGTGATGTATGTAAATTTCAGTTCCAGTGCAAGCATTGCAGTCCGGTAGAATGACCGTGATCCATGTTGTAGATTATGCGTGGCCACTGGAGCAAATATGTGTCACTTTCACTTTAGAAATTCTTTGTCTCCCCGACCAAGTAAGTGTGGACCTATTCAGCAGTAATTCTGCTGCGCATGCGCGTGACCTAGAAGTTTCCATCTTATATGAGTGTGTGGGTTTATAATATCATGGTGATTTATATAGGAGGGGTGTTGTAGAAAGGTGTTTCTTTTTCACAACGCCTCCGATTTTATAAGGTATATACTTCGTGTAAGCAGCCCGAGGCGATGTGCTACTTACAGACGAGTGTCAAAAACACTGGCGACACTGACCATTGATAATGCACCCACTACCTGTGTGTGTGTGTGTGTGTGTGTGTGTGTGTGTGTGTGTGTGTGTGTGTGTGTGTGTGTGTGTGTGCCGTTGGTGTCAGCATATGCGTGTTGGTGTAGCGGCCTATATGTGTGTGCTTAATTAATAATTTGGTTTTAACTAATTAGTGTGCATTCAAAATAATGAAGTGTGCATATGCATGGCATGCGGCGCACTAACTCAAATCATCACTGCAATTAATTGCCTTTTCTGCGACCCATCGATTGCGATTCGTTTTTAATTTAAATAAAATTATAACCCCGTAAATAAAAAGTGAATAACCGTGAATAATAGCCAGAGCCCCGGTGCTCGTCTCATCTGTGATAGTAACTATTAATTATGTCAATAATTAATCATTTTGATGTCGTTTCCTATATTAACATATTATCCGGTGGTGGGGGTGGGGGAGGGGGTTCTCCTGAGGGATTAGTAATGCGTCGTATACCACTGCCCTTATATATTAAATCCGCTAACCCGTCAGCATGTTAAATTAATGTTAACATGTTAAATTAAACTCATCGCTTGTCTTCTTAAACATTTGATGTCCTACGTTGGGTCGATAGCTACGAATTATCTACCCATTATCTTTGCCAGTTTTGCCATCGCAGCTTCTACCTCAAAGGGCGAATGCACGAAATAACTGACATAAACACGGGACACTTCACACGGGGATTTTTATAGCATCTCTTATAAGAGCATAAAGCTGTCAATGACGCATCATGCGAGGCCCATCGTCATGCATGTCCTGTGGGAATGATGGTTCAGCAGCTGCACGAGAGAATGTGGCGTATACGAGCAAGATGAAGGCTATGGTTTACACGTCACGCCAATGCGGTACGTGTATACATCCGAACACCAGCAATCGCCCACGCACGCACACACAACCAAACACACACGCAAACAGGTATATATATATATATATATATTATTATATATATATCATATCAGGAGTAGATAATAGGGGAATCTATTTCCCTATTATCTACTCCTGATCATATGAAACCTAACAAATTGATAATCGTAGAAGTAACTTAGCAAATAAATATACAAATATATAAATGCAAGAAGGAAACGGAAATGGCTCTCTATTTACAGATTTTACATGTGAAATTGCATCATCACCGTCATATATATGTATAGAGAGGAAGAGAGAGAGAGAGAGAGAGAGAGAGAGAGAGAGAGAGAGAGAGCG